AAATTATTTGTAAGACCTTAGAGCCATGTGTTAATGAGATGGTGGATTACCTTTTAGGATTAATTTGTACTCTAAATCAGTCATTTCAGATCCAAGACGAGAATACTGTACTTTTACAGTATATATTCGCACAGAATTGTGCAGAGAAGTCAAATCTGTTAAAGCTTCTGGACCACGTTTTTCAGCTCACAGCACATTCCAATGACCAGTATTCACTATACAATGGGGGTGTATTAGAGCACTCAAAAGCTGATTGGCTGCCATGCACAGCTGCACCGGATTCTAACTTCAATTTATTGACCATAAAACCTGGAAGTTGATTGATTTCTATGCAGAGAGCTGCAGCGGATTTGCAAGCTTTGATTTTAATAAATCTCCCCCATTGAGTAGTTTATGGAGGGAGATTTCTGAAACGCAGGCAAAAGTGGCTGTTGCAGGGAACAAGTAATGATTGACTACATTCTAAGATGAAGACATGGGTTAACTTGGGGACACAGGGATAAATGTACCTACACAAATAGACTTTCCTCCCACACACCCTGTACCTCCCTTGGCCTACATCTAGCCCCAAGTGGCTATAGTAATGCCATGCGGAAGAAAATGAGGAAGATGTAACTTTTATGCATCACTCTCCAGTGACAAAATAACATTTTAAGATCAAAATAAACATGTAGCATTTTCATAATGTTTTGTGACTACACAGTGGCGCCATTTGTAACAGGAGTGGATTATATTTAAGTGACAAGAGCATTACACATTAACTGCTGGATAGTAGTAAAATAAATTTGAGCTATAAGACTGTAGTATGTTTGATTGTCACAACATTTTCAGTTCTGCTTTAAAGTTTCTGCTTTAAAACCCTTCTTAGAAATGTGATAATCTAGCCTTCATACCAAAGTGTATTTAAAATGACTTCAAGTCCACACATTGTTCTGCTCCTGGCAAAGTACCCATACATGTGAAACAGATGTCACGAGTTGACAGAAGTTGTTTTTCTTTGCAGGATTGCCAGAATATTTTAGAGTCCAAAATTAACAGAGTGATCAGGGAAATAAAATAACAGCCACTAGTAATGAAAAATATATTTAATGAATGGCTAATATAGACAGCACCATAACCATTCTTTATACTGTATTTTCATGTGTGTGTATGCATGTATATGTTTGTGTGTGTGGGGGGTCTTTAGCACCATTTATTTATCAGAACTATAGAGCTTTAATAATATCAAAACTATTGATGTGGAAACACTCATGTCCACAAAGCAGATGTCATCTCATGGATGAAAAAAAGCGTAACAGGAATCAGAATGTATTAATGTACTGATATACTATACAAAAGATTAGACAGTAAAAGTTTACGTTCTGTACCAAAAAGCATCATGAGACCAAGTTAAGTGATTTAGAGACAGTATTTAAAGAACTGTGATCCAAGGAAAAGCTTTTCTGAAGTGGATCTGTTCATGTATCTAAAATGTAACCTATTACATTGTTTACTAGTTTTCTAAAAACTGGATTTCTGCTAACAGGCAAATTATCTGATTTCCTTATCCAGACACCAAGATTCACTTTTATTAAATACAATAAAGAGAATAGACGGAGTACTCCAAAATGCATAACCAAAAGCCTTAGAATTACCCGCAGTTTTAATTTAACTCCTGACTAGAAAAGAACCGCACCCAGCCCTCTACAGATCCCCCTGTGATGCATCTTTAAATCAAAGCTGTAAGTAATCATTGAGGATGATGTTTAAATGTTGTGTTATGGCTCCTAGTTGATTATGAGTTTTGGATATTTACTGTAATCAGTGTGCTGAACTTCTCAATACAGTTTTTGACATTAAACTTCCACCAGGACCCCAGCTACCCCAAGATGCATATGTATCAACAATAAATCTGAACTAATAGTATAGATTAACTGTAGATCGGTTTAAATGTCTTGTACATACCAGGTTTGTCTCTGTGTATACATACATAAAGTGGAATTCAATGCTAGAACCAACCAAGCTTAAAACTGCTGCCTCCCCCCTTCCTACTCTTGTATGCCCTGTAAAAGGAAGATGCATATTTTTACCTTTTCACAGGGAGCACTGGTTCAGTCACGTGATCTCCCCAGCGGCCAGATTCATGGAGAGGAGAGATTGATGACAACAGATGGAATGCCTAGGTGATGACCTCATCCATAGGCTTACTATTGAGCATTCATTGTTGGCAGTCCCTCCTCTCCCCTGAAGCTGGGCACTGGGAGCCAATCATGTGACTGGACTGGCATGCCCTGAAAATAGGGAAGTATAAATGTTTTCCTTTGAGAGGGTAGTTAGTATAGGTGTTAGAGCAGTTTTTACGCTTAGTTCTAGCCTGGACTTCCATTCTAAATCATTTTTGTGCCTGAGCCAAACCTGTAGCCATTCCAGCCATGGACATACACTATGAGTTGATTGTGGGCTGGATGCTTTACCTTCGAAACAACACAGGGAGATTCCTATACCATCATAGTCCTAGTGCTTGCCTAAAGCTGGATGGTCCATTGATGTGTTCAAAGAAATCTTTGAAAGTCAGTGGGACTCATATTTTTCTCTGTGCCAACCTTACCAAAAGCTGTGACATGCTGAGGATCTGAAGTAATGATGCATAGCTCCACATTTGGAGAGCCCATGTCTTATGATATTTTGTTTGTAGAGATGTTGTTAAAATGACGCTGAGATTTTTTATCAGTTTGGATGTTAATAGTTTAGCGAGTGTGTGTTTTGTTTATTTTAAACATTTCTTCAGCCAAGAGTTCTGAACTCTCCCTTACTCACCAAGGAGTCAGTTGTACAGCAGAAGCCTGAATATTTGCTTGAAAGCCATAGACTGATTGCTATGGAAGGTGTGGCTATAGCTGCCCATTCCACTCTGAGGATCTCCAGCTTCAAGGTTTATGGTGGCATCTGTTATTTCATATATAGACAACACTTGGTTTACTACATGGCAGATGAGCCGTGAGCCAAAAATCCACAAAGGCCTGGTGGAAAATTTTCTGTGGAATCTCTTCAAGGAATTTTCACACTGATATGCATGTACAGAATGCTTGTTAAGCACACTTTTTACATGTACTTTAGCAATCACTTTTCTTTTTTTTTTTTATTATGCAAATCAAGTTAAAAAAAACTTTTTTAATCAATTTCATTGTGCTGATGCATGAAAAATAAACGATATGAACAATGTATTTCTGTGAACCTAAAAATGTGTATTACTGAACTCAAAACTATATAGCTATCTCATAAATGTGCATCAGCACAAAGAGGTTCCCCTAGACATTATTGGAATTTAAATTGCTCAAGTATGAGTCATCACAGGCAAAAAAGCTGTACAATTTTTGTGAACATTCATTCTGTAAAAGTTAGTTTCCATAGTACATATCGCAAGCATTGCTGTTTTAGTTCTATTGCATCAAGTATTTTAGGCATATTTAATAAAATTTAACAAGCACCCTATTGTTAAGGTAAAATGTTTATGAAAAAAACATGGGCACTGTCACTGCTGACCCCTTTTTAGAAATGGTTCTTGCCTTACTATTACTCACCCACTGGTTTCTATAATTTGGAGCCACAGCACTGGAACAAGTATACAGATAAGCAAAGTCAGGGATTATCAAAACTACTTATCTGTATACTTGTCTTGAGTTTTGAGTCAAAAGGGTTGATTACAAAAGGCAAATAGGCTGATACTTTGAAAAGAAAGTTGCACTTCGAGGTGAAGCTCTGTCAATTTCCATCATCCAATCATGTGCAAGTAAAAACTAATTTTTTTTAAAATCTTCCTTGAACATGATTTGGTTTTCTTTGCAAAGTAAAAATTCATCATATTCACTGAGCTCTGGGGGAAATTCCCTTGCAAAGTGAATAGCTTATTTGCCTTTAGCAAATGAATCCCAAAGTATTAGAGTATTGGAGGGTCAGCATGAAAGCTAGCCAGTAATTACTGAAGAAGTTACTAAGGGTAGAAGTCTCAATCTCCTTCTCTGCTTTAAAATCTTATCCACTAATGTATGTATATACCCTCTAATAATCACCCATCTGTTCAAAATGCTTGATGTACATGAGCAGGAAAATGTTCAACTACCGCATAGGCCTCCAATTGCAAACTATATCTTTCAAGAAAAAAAGGTTAATTCATCCATCCAACTTGTTTTTTATTCTACTTCTGTCTTTGTTTTAAAGCAAATGAATAGTAGAAGCCTGTTTGTGAATATGTTCACACTTTACCATCTAGAGTTTGATGTTAATCTGAAGTTCATTAAATTACTTTATAGTAGCACCAAGCGTAGCGTTCCCACACCCTTCTGCAAAATTTGCATGTAATACTTAGTATACTTCAACTCATCGGGTTATGGTGTCCATGATTACAGGAATCAAACAGCCTTAATAAGCTCTAGGATGCAATGGTAAAACCTAAGGCACAGAAGAAGGGGTGGTTCAAGGTTTAAGTATTTTAGTAAGGAGAGGTACACTGAAGATGGTCTACTGATGAAGCCAAGTGCAGAAGGCAATCATTAGCTACTGTATGTGCATAACAGTGCACCTACTCTGCTCCTATAATCTGATACTCTGCTTACTTGTAAACACTGTATTCATGTTTTTGTACTCATCTTGTAGAACTGCTGAGCTTAGGGAACAAGGTAAGCTGTTTCGGGTGAATGCTTTGAAAGTTATTTTAAATTGTGTGAAGAAATGCAGTACAAAGAAGGGCTGTCCTGAGAATACCACATGTCTGAAGTGGAATAGTTGATTGCCTTCCAATAAATATAGAGTAGAACAACCTACAGTGTAGGGAATGCATACTTCATTCAAAATCTGATGACATGTAGGTAGCAGTGTATTATTTTAGAATGAAAAATAGTCTTGCACATTTTCATTAAGTGCTTTCCTCTTTAAAATTTCTTGCTTCCATGTTAAGGCAGTAGAAGGCCTGCTCCAAGACTTTTGTTCTGTGTTGCTCTGAGCTTTAAACTGTGAGCTAAAGTTTATCCTTGAGAACAATCGGCATTGTTTCCATGTACCCAGAGACATATCTGTGCATACTTCAGTGGAGTAATTCTGATGGCAACATTGTAATCCTGCTGTTCTCCACCAACATCCACCCACTGGTGACCAGAATAGATGGCAATGATTTTCCTGTTCCATTTCTTCTTATTTGGCTCTTTGAGGCGGATGTAAATACCAGAACCGCTAGAGCCAGGTTCAGCATCACAATACTGATAAAATAGATCATTGGATTCCACTGAAACACTACAAAACCGGTAAACCAACTGCCCAACCCTGTCGTCATCAAATCCTGAGAAATGTACTCTGCTCCCTGGCATCTTGTCAATTTCTGGACTAATTCCAAGGTCCATAAACTTCTTCTTTTGAGCACGTTTTAATTCCAGAACTGCATAGTCATAGTCAAGAGTCATGTTTTGTGATATATCCTTTAACCAGCCTTTAGGAATCTTAATGGCTTTTACTCTTGTCCACTGGAAGGAAGGCTTTCCAGGGCTGGAGCCTTTTTCTTTCCCAGAGCTTGTGCTTTTCTGGTCTATATCTGCTGCTGACCTTTTTTGTATGGACTTTCTTCTTTGTTTTTTTACCATCCTTAGTTGCACTAACATCATCAGAGGTATCTCCTTTGTTTTTCTTTGATCCCCTACTTCTTTTGCCACCTCTCCTTGTCCTAATTTTAAGAATCCCAACACGTAATTTTTGGGAATTTTTAACATAATCAGTGCCATCATGTACACAATGGGCAGCTGTTAGAACATGTTTTGGTGAAATAAGGATGCCACTGCAGCCGGAAGATAGTTTAACCGCAGTACTAAAGGGGTAGTTGGTCATAAAATGTTTGTCTGATATACTGAACCTACTGTCTGTGCCATAAACTTGTCTCTTTTTACGCATGTTGTGTTTTATGGATACATTGCTCTGATTGAGATCTCCAGAAAGCCAGGTTTGGATGTTTACTTTTGTCATGGTGCGTGTACCATTGTCATACAGACTTTCAAAAGACAAATAATTTTCAAGATCATGTAGAGTAGGTGGTGGCAACTTCTTCTGGCATTCAATACCACAGGTTCCATGGAGTTGTAGATTTGGTTCTGCTTCAAACTTTGGGCTGTTGAGATGGACAACATCTGAAGCAACTATGTGAGGTATTTCCTTGATGTGCCAAGTTATAGCCTCTTGATCTGAATCATCTGCTTTATTGGTGTTTGACAATAAGATCAAGGAAAAGAGGAATACTAGATGCAGGCAATCCATTCTGTCCCAATCTCTAGATCTAAAAGATAAATAGATATAAATAATGAGAGAGCAATAAAATGCGTTTGCATGGTCCATACAATTGTGCCTGTGTGCACTAGATTGGGTGAAAGCATAATGTTGGCAATGGCTATATCAACCAATAAGAATCTGTGTGCTATTTTTCTCATGTAAAAACAAAAGGAAACATTTGCTTGATGACTAGGGGCAACACTTGTTTAATATAATGTCCAAGACAGCTGATGGAAACTGGAGCAATGAAAAGCAGTGTTTTTGCCACATATCCCCAGTCCTAATCCATGCAGCATTTTATAGTGCAGGCATGGTAATAAAAGCTATGGACAAAAAGCCCTCTGTTCTTTTTTGTTTTTTTTGTTTTTTTATTTACAATAGGCCCAATATGGCAACAACATTTAAAGAAAGTCAGTAACACTTTTGAAAAAGGGTTATCTCAAGTTGAAAACTCATTTGGGACCTTTTTGATAAACAGTGAGTGCCATACAAAGATATTAAAAACCATTAGTTATATATTATAGAACCATGTGTTGTGGTTGGCTTGAGCAAACAAAATGCAATACTAGCATTTGATGACAGTTGGTAGTGTCCTATTCTACAATGGCTGACTCCGACAATACGCTTGTCTGGCTACTCGCTGTCTTGACTACTGCAACTTCCTCCTCACTGACCTACCCCTACACCAGCTAGCCCTCTTCAGTCTTGGGAATGCTGCTGCTAGACTAATACACCTTACTAACCAATCCATAACTGCTACCCCTCTCTGCCAATCTCTTCACTGGCTTCCACTAGCCCAACGTAAGACATTCAAAATACTAACCATAATGTACAAATCCATCCACAACATCACCCACAGCTACATTACCAACCCCATCAGCAGATATCGCCCAAACTGCCCTCTCTGCTCCGCTCAAGACCCCCTACTCTCCAGTTCCATTGTTACCTCCTCCTACGGTCACCTCCAAGACTTCTCCAGAGCCTCTCCCATCCTCTGGAACTCCCTGCCCCAGTTTGTCTGGTCAGCTCCTACCCTGTGTGCCTTTAGGTGATCCTTGAAAAATTGTTTATTCAGGGAAGCCTACCCCACCTTTACCTAAGAACTGTACTTGAGTCACCTCCATCAGATCATCCCCTGCAACTATTACCTTTTGTACCACCGCCCCCTCCTTTTAGATTGTAAGCTCCATGAGCAGGGCCCTCTTATACCTTCTGTATTGAACTGTATTGTAATTGTACTGTCCCCCTTTATATTGTAAATCGCTGCATAAACTGTTGGTGCTATATAAATCCTGTATAATAATAATATAAAACTAACATTTGATGACAGTTGGTAGAGTCCTATTCTACAATGACTGACTCAGACAATGCTGATGGTGATTGTTTCAATTTTACTATAGCAAATCACTTTTTATATTAGTGTAAACATAAGGAATAATATGATAAGACTCACAGAAAACAAAAGGTTCCAGTAATGTCTGGTTCTATATAGTATAACCCTATATGTCACCTAACATTGTAAAAGCCCTTTGTGCATCCTAATTTTCACGTAGTACTCATGGGAATTTTAGAATGTTGGTACATGGGGTGAAACATTCCAGACTGCTCTCACTTCCCTGCTAATTCCAAATATTTTTCTCTGTGTAACTTTTTAACTTCACAGGCTGTCAAACATATCAACTGTCATTGATTTTCAGAAGGCTTCCAATCTTTTTTTCTAAATTTTCTTTTAAAATTTATATCTATGGAGAATAAAGGTGAAGCCAACTGTAAAGAGGCAATTCGGTTAAAACAAGTCTCTGTTCTGTAATGCAGTTTGCATGGAAGTATCATAATCTTTTAGAGGAAATTTGTGCTGAAAACAAATATGGAAGCTCCTTTGCTTGCCATGTTCACCCAATTGTTATAATGCTTTCTGACACTTTATTCTAGAACAAGTATGCTGGTCAGGAGTTCTGATGTCACCGTATGTGTTTGTTCCCATTCTAGAACTCCAGCATTGTCAGAAAACTTTTTTTTTTAGTTTTGGTGGGGAGTTTAGAAAAGCCATTACCAGATTTTTATTATTTGTTTCATTACTGGTTCTGTTAGTAATGGATAAAAATCCCTCCAATGGAGGTCCATAGATGAAAACATATTTTAGGCCCCATTCACATCTGGTGTAGCAGAAATGAGCATTTCCGCAAACACCTGAAAACCACACAACACACTCACAGTGTCTTTTATTTCTTAATGTCATCCTAAACATAGGTAGCGTGCAAAAAAAAAAAACTGTGAAAAATGCAAAACATGCTTGGCTCAGTGCCAAAGTTTGGTATATAAGCTTTAGCACATTTTTGGAGCAGGAGGCCAATCCAAATGAAATAAAACACACAATACATGTGGCATGGTAGTTTCACTCAAGGGTCAACACTGTTCTAATTTGAGTGAGGAAGGGTTAGATTTTATTACAATATGTTCATTGCTGGCCCACTGCTTTCTGACCCAGTGATGACTACACCTTCCATTTCATGTATAGGCATGGACAGGAAGTAAGGAAAAGTCACAGATGGAAATACAGAATTTGAAATCCTCCTAATTTTTTTTTTTTAAATGGGATGAATTAGGGATTTAAAGTTAGGGTAAGGGGATTCATTGTTATGTTATTGTAAAGCTTTCATAAGAACACGGGGGCTTTCTGTTGCACAGCAACTTCTGAAAATCCTATTGACCTGGCTGTTATTCTGATCCACTTTCTTTGTTTTCTGAAACAATGACCCAGAACCAATATGTAGATAAAGAAAGTCAAAGTAAAGTCATAAGCCCTTATTTAGGTGTGTGCCACAGGGTAGTGAATCAAAGTGCACAACACCCAGGCAGCAATTTCAAGAGTGTCTACATTTTTCTCCCATGGCATATTTATTTGGTTGACCTCTACTTCTAATACAGATTTTATTGTTCCCCCCTTACGTTCACATAAAACCCAGGCAACTGACATTTTCATGAAGAGGTCTGAAAGTGGAAGCCCCCATACTTCTCCCGTAAAGAGCTTTCTTTAAGGGTTAAATTAAGAGAATTGAATTTTGTAACAAACCTAATGTGCGGGCACCTGTAGGTGACCACTAAATGCTGTCCATGTGGATACTAGTTCCTTGGCTGTTCTGACTTTCTTGATTTGCATGCTTCATCTAGGTTAGGGACTCAAAATGAAGTCAGGCAGGCCAGAGACAGCCAGGCAAACTAGTAGTTCAACAATGGCAGCGTACATTGTTTTCTCAGTACAGGTGTCCTTTAAAAATTCACTGTGAAAGTGAACCTCTTTTTCAGGCTATGCATACTAAAGTATTTAAATACTTTGAGCAAGCAACAAAAACACTTTCAAACAAGCCCTTACCTATGCAGCTATATGTATTACAGAGAAATTAATCTTTAAAGCTGAACTCTCTGAATTATCTGTATTGCAAAGAGCATAGGAAATAAATGATTGGCACTGCTGTCATTTATAGAAGGTCTTGTATTTTTTTTCAATGAATACAATGAGTTCTTTGACTGGACAAGGTGGAGAGGAAGGGGGCAGTGATGTCTCTATATAAACAAGCAACAGACACTTCTAAGCCACTAGAAACTGTGTGAAACCAAACTTTGTTGTGATCTTGCAGAATCAGTAACTTCAATATACATACAGCTAGAAAGGTCAGTGAAGTCTTGTTTTAAAGATCTTTTATTGTTTGTTAAAGATGTAAAATAAACTGCAACTGTCCCCAGAATATGGACATTAAAGTCTCAGGTTTGAGTGGTAGTTACAATGTTGTATGTCTGCACAAATACATTTCTGACATGTTGCAATATATGGCAATACTATAATGTATAAAAAGAAACATATTTGCCTTAATTAAAAAGCAGTCCTGGAATTCCAGGCAAGTGATCGTGTTTTGTCAGTAGATCATATTCATAGAATGATGTAATCAGTCAGCTGTAGCCTTTGCCAAAAAGGAACAGTGATAGCCTCAATTTATGGTAGACTACTGCACACAGGAGAAATTGATCTGGTGTGTATACATTTTTTTTTACGCGTCCCAAGTCATTGAGTCTATGTAAAGGCAGGTACATTTTAATGAGACAGAGTATCGAATCTGCTTTGTGCTTACAAAATTTTATTTTTTCTGAATGCACCCAAACAGAGGTTGGTGCGGAGTATGAATTATACCATTTAAAATAATTACTTGCATGCATATGCATTTAGGAATGTCCTATAAACATCATTGCCATTGCCAGTGTGAATGATGCCTACATTCCCAGCAGGTGTCTACTAGAACTTCCTGGCAGCTCACAAGGTGAGAGTTAAGCAGCCCATAGATTATGCAATTTTCTTTCCTTTCCCCACAGGTGGTAGAAAATAAAATCTATCTATTTCTTTAATCAACACAGTCAGTATTGAGGAAGGAATTCCTCCCACAGTGCTATTGTGTTCTGCCAGCGGGGAACCTTCCCTGCCAGCAGAACACAATAATCACTGCTGGCTGCTACATGCATTGACAGTGCATGAAAGAAACCTGACAGGAGGGTTGCACTCAAGTAGATCAATGGATCAAATCAAATTCAGTACAACCAGCCTGCCCTTAGATGGATTGAATCTCGGCTGGTCCCTTGAGAGGTTTGGTTAATCTATGGCTGGCTGTAGTATCATGCTATGACTGCATTATCCCTGGGTCTTTATTCTAATCCAGATAGTAGATGCTGACCTGATTCCTAAACAAAGATGGTGCCAACCTACTGGAGATAAAGAAAAATTAAGGAATTCTCAGTCAGAGTGCCATGATCTCTGTGAGATGTAATAAATGCCAATGGGTTTTACTTACACTTTACGGGACATGCATGTTCCTGATATAAGAACATATAAGGTTATCTCTGTTTAAAGGATTAGACAAGGGTTAAGTAATCTTAGGTGACCTTTTAGGGTTCAGCCCAAAAGTTAAAATTAGGGTTGTGTGGTAAAATTCACTATTTCA